GGTGGGGGTCTCCTGGGAAACCCTCTGCAGGGCGCCGAGGCGCAGGTGCGCCCCCATCCCCAGGGTCTCATTATCCGCGGCCACACCTGGGGCCGAACCGTGCTCCCCCTTCCCCTCCCCCGCTCCCGTGGGAGCTTCTGTCTGGGCCGAGGGGTACTCCTGGGGCCTGCCCAGCCTTGGGGTGAGGGGCTGGCCCAACACTCTACAGGTTCACGGTCATCAGTAGGGCGGGACCACAGTGGGCACGAGTCCCACACACACCAAGGTGCGTCTGGAGGCCACAGAAGCAACAAGGGCCCCTCAAAGGCTTAGTGACCTGGCTGGGCTGTGTGAGTTCCCAAGAGGGGGTGTCCCTGCAGGGCTCTTGGAAACCCAATTATCGAACCCCCTGTCCTTGGGGAGACCGGGGCCGGAGTGCAGAGACCGGAGCACAGAGGGGGCTTCTGATATTGACACCTAAACTGAGACCTGTGGGTGGGTGGGATGGGACCAGGCAGGGGACAGGGGTGAGCAGGCCCTGGCTGGGACAGCTGGACCAAAGACCTGAGTCTGAATAAGGGAGAAGAGGTCGGAACACCAGCCTGAGTCCCTTTCTTAGACACCCCTGGCCCCCTAATTCCTGGTTCCAGGGACACCAGAAATTAGACCCGCCTTTGCCAAGGAGCTCCTTGATTGAGCAGACCACCTTGGGTGCTAGGGGGCATTGGGGTTTGGGTGGGGACTGTCTCCCTTGGCTCCCCACCTGCACACAAGCTTACCAGGGCAGGATCCTGTGAGCTTGGGCCCAGGCCCCTCTAGAGCCCCACCTCTGCTGACCCTTCACTGTAGGGAGCCGGGGCTTGTTAGGACGCTTGTCTCCAGGCTGCCAGCTCCAGCTCCTACAGCTGTTACCAGACAGAAGGTCTTGGAGATGAGTTGTCCAGGCTCTTGGTGGGTTGAACAAAGAATTGAACAAACACACAAAGTGACAAAAGAACAAGGAAACACAAAGCAACAAAGGAACTGAGTCAGAAGAACGGAGTAAAGAAAGCACAGATTTATGGAAGGCAATTCACAGAATGGGAGTGGGCTCCAGCAAGTAGCTCCAGAGCCTCTGCAATTAGGATTTTTATCAAGCAAAGGAACCTGGCCACAGCCCTTATGCCCTTAAGGAGCCTCCAATTGGCTACACCCTATGAAGGATTGGCCCGAGACCAATCAGAGGTGAAGTGGAAACTTCTGTCTCGTTATCACAGGAGCCAGGATGTGGCCTGTGTGCTGCCCAATCCTGCCTACAACTGGCTGCACCTGCTGTTCTGTTGCTTATGCCCAACCCTTGGCTACCCTCATTCCCTATTCTGCCTCACAGCCACCATAGATGCCCACCCCTGCAGACAGGGCAGCCAGACCTGGGCCACCTCACCCCACCTGTGTGTGGGGCATGGGAGGGCTCACTGGGATCCAAGGGAGATAGTTCCCTGGAGTAAGAGATCCCACAAGCCCCTGCCCCAGCTCATACTGAACCTGGCCTCTCCAGCAATGGACATGGACTCTGGCCACTATGTTAGGGGCTCCTAGACCAAGACCAGCCACCCACCCTGCCCAGCCCCCAGCAACCCCTGAGTGGGTAAGGATGGGGAGAGGTACTCTACCTCCAAGAAAGCAGAAATAGGCCGGGCGTGGTGGCTCACGCCTATAATCCCAGCACTTTGGGAGGCCGAGACGGGCGGATCACAAGGT